ATGCTTCGCTTGTTGGTACTGATGTTGCTTAAAGAATTTTTGGTCGAGCCTACGGGTTGGGATACTCCAAATTAAATCCTGCCTTGTACCACATCTGACCGCTTGGGTAGATAGTGATTTTTTAAGCCCGGCTTAGATGTGGCACAAGGCCGAAAGTATGGGGCACCCAGTGAGGGTCGAACTCACTACTCAGTCGTAATTGATTTAGCAAGACAAGCTTTCTAACCATTACACCACGTCGAGGTGCCCAATCGCGTGGGTAGATATCCTAGAGTTGAAGATTCATTGTGGAAATTAAAAAAAAAAAAAGAAAATCCAAGAAAAAATAATTTTTATTCACACAAAAGTCATTCAAATTATGCCGATTCATATAAATGTCTTGTTACAAATATTTGTATATTTCGCTAGTGTCTTTTCTTCCTAATAATGTAAATAGTAATATTAGCCCTTTCCTTATAAGGAAACATTCTGCATTCATTGATCGAGCAGCCAATGCTGCTTAAGCAAGGCTTTTTTTTTAATTTCCCTGAATATCGGCCTGGGAACAAAGTGTAGTATCTGTTTTCTTCATCTCTAATGGTAATAGTAATATTAAATTTTTCCTTATAAGGAAACATTCGGTATTCATTGACCGAGCAGCCAGTACCAATGTCGGTTGAAGCTTGTAAAATCTTTCCCTTAAAACAGTTTTTGAAGAAAAACTGTTTTAAAGGAAAGATCACTATTCTCAGTCTTCTCTCTTTCACTCCCTGTAAAACCCTGCGTTCTAGTGACATTTCTGCCTCGCTTGGGGTCAAATGATTAAAAAGCAAAAGTTGGACCTCTGAACCGGCGCAGGGTCCAAACTTTAAGTTTATAGAGAAGTGTTTCGGTAGGTTCTTGAATTGAACGTTCTTAATTAGGGAAGTGCGCATGGCCAATATGAATAAAAATAACTAATAAATGACGAACAGGAAACAGGATTCTGTTTTGATGGGACAAAAGAATTATCCTCAGCAGAGCTAAAGAATAGTACAGTCTGGATAATTCATTTATAAAAGGATCTTCATTAATCAATATGACTCATCAACTTCGACCAACGAAAGAAAAGTAATGTTAATTTATTAATTAATTTATGAACGCAGGATGTAAAGATCCCAGACCCAACACATTTTGCACAATTAGTAGCGCTGATTTTCAAGAAAGCTCCCCAGCCCCATAAAACAAGGTTTAGACTTGATAGAATAATCAATCTGGTATTAAAACGTAGTAAATTTATTTCTTGTAAAAAAAAAAAAAAAAAAAAAAAAAAACAACGATTCCATAAAGAACAAAAACTTGTAATTCCAACGGATAATTTATTGTTAAAACAGATATATTTCGGGAAGCTTTTGCAATCCTTGATCTCGCTTGAGAAATAAAGGGTGTTTCATTAAGACGGATTATATATAAGGGTGTTTCATTAATAAGGATTATATATAACGGTGTTTCATTAATAAGGATTATATATAAGGGTGTTTCATTAAGACGGATTATATATAAGGGTGTTTCATTAATAAGGATTATATATAAGGGTGTTTCATTAAGACGGATTATATATAAGGGTGTTTCATTAATAAGGATTATATATAAGGGTGTTTCATTAAGACGGATCAAAGTCAGCAGTAAATAAATCAGTGTTATTCGTGAAAATTTATTTATTTCTCTATTGGATCATGTTCTTTAAGTCATGGCGATTATGTGTGAAAAATAATATCAACCAAACGTCCACCAGATCTGAAAGAAAAAAATCATTAAATGGTTAAACTTAATTTACATTAAAATCGGTCCAAGTTATTGGAACACCCATTAAATGAAACAGTGAATAAGATACAGTGTATACGTTATAGATTCAAATTAACAAAAAAAAAAAAAAAAAAAAAAATTCAATCAAATTGAGTTCGCGAGGCATGCGTAAGCTGAAAGCGTGAGAATTGCTGAAAGAAGACATGTCATTTCGAAACCAGAGTAAATACGAAAGAACTAGGAGTATTTTTACATTTTTTTTCTTTTTACTCGGGTTTGTAAATGAAAGTTCTTTCTTTCTTTAAGCAATTCTCACGCTTTTAGCTTACGCATGTCTCTCTAACTCAATTTGATCGAATTTTTTCCCCCGTTAATTTGAATTTATAACGTATACAATGTAGTTTAGTCAGTGTTTCATTTATTTCTCAAGAATGACCAAGGATTGCAAAAAGCTTTCCGGAATATAATCTGGTTTAACAATAAATTATCCATTGGAATTACAAGTTTTTATTCTTTTAATTTAAATTTATTTCTCTTTAGAATTATGAAAGTAGATTGATAAGTAAGGTTTTTGAAATTATAGATCAAGTTTGTGACTAGAGAGAATAATAAATCTGTTATCAAAATTAAATAAATTTAGTTCTCTTCAAAATTCTGAGGATTGATTTATATCTTCTCCAATCCTATAAAACAAGTTTCAGACCATATATAAATAATGAAACTTGTTTCAAAACGAGAATTTATTTATTTTCAAATTTCTGTGAATTGATTGATAAGGTAAAACTCATTATATATAAATAATGAAAGGAGAATTTATTTTCAAATTTCTGTGAATTGATTGATAAAGTCTCCAATCAGATAAAACAAGTTTCACATTATATATAAATAATGAAACTTGTCTAAAAACTAGGAGAATTTATTTTCAAATTTCTGTGAATTGATTGATAAGGCCTCTAGTTCTATAAAACATTCTTTAATTTAGATTGAATAATGAAACTGGAATTAAAAATGAATTATATTTTTTCTTTTAAAATTTATGAGGACTCAAATTCTAGAGAACATAGTGATGTTCAATAAAAGTGACTCACCTGTTTTTTTTTTTCTAAAAATATTTTTTGTCTATTGTTTTTGGGGTTAAAATAATTTTTAATTTTACTAATATAAATACCCCTTCCCGACCACCGTGGAAAAAAAGTTTATTCACCCTAATGTCTTCTATTGATAATTATAAATTTGGATATAAATAAGATTCAGGAAAAAAAAATCTGTGCAAAAAAAGTGACTCAGATATCGCATTCTAATGATTAAACTGGTAGATTTAAAGAGCTTTTGACAAAATATTGAAAACTATTTTACAATACACTGAGAACAATATTCTAGAGAATTCTAGAACAGCTTGAATTAAATCTAGTGTATTCCAGAATATTCCAGAAAGCCTCATACAGTATAAAAACAGCTTGAAATAGCCACTCAATTTCACTAACCAGATGAAAGGGTACAAACACGCATCAGAACCACTTAAGGCATCTATTATTGCCCTCTCAAAAGCAGGCAGGTCTACGAGAGAAATTGCAGAAATTGCTATAACCTCGCAATCAACTATCTCTCGAGTTCTTAGGGCGCATAATGATGCCACTCCTGCTCCAAGGAAGGAAACAAGGGGATGAAAGAAAAAGATTGATGATAGAACTGGCAGGGTAATCAAGAGAAAAGTTGCCAAGAATAGGACTATTACTAGCCAAGAAATTGCAGCCAGTCTAAGAGAAGAGCAAGGTATTAGTCTTGCCTCTTCAACAGTCTGTTAATGGCTGTTAGAACAAGGCTACAAATTTTGTACACGAAGGTTTAAGCCGCTAATAAGCAAAGCCAACAAAGCCAGGAGACTTGAATGGGCTCACAATTACAAAAATTTCACTGTAGATGACTGGAAGAATGTTCTCTTCTCCGATGAAACGAAAGTTGAGCTAAATTCAAAGGATAAGGTGAGTCACTTTTATCGAACAGCACTGTATTCTGGCCAGATAGAATGATAAAAATAGATATAAAAATGATGGGAATTTATTTGTTTACAAATTGAGTCTTAAGCAGGTCTCCAATCCTACAGAATAAGTTTTAGACAGGCTTGAACTACTATCAAAATGAAGTAAATTAAAATATTTTAAAAGGATTAAAAATTAAACAATTGCAATAAAACGGTCATATAAAAATTAAACAGCGGGAAGTATATAAAAAAAGTTATTTACCATCAAGGCCTAGAAATTAACCTTTTTGCTTACAGAGGAAGGGCTGGAAGAACTTAATATATATAGTCGTTGAATATTATGAGGATTGAGTGATGCAATCTCCAATTCTATAAAAATGTTCTGGTCAGAAAGAATAGTACAAATTATATCAAAATAATGCTAATTTATTTCTTTATAAATTTTTTCTTAATAAGGACTTCGATATTACAGAATAGGTTTTAGACAGGGTAGGATTATGAAAATGCTACCACAATGACATAAATTTAAATATTTTAAAAGGGTTTTTTAAATAATATTAAATTCAAACACCGGAAAGAATAAAAAATATTTTATAGTTACCATTAAGAAAAAATAGTTACCATCAATAAAAAAAAATAAAGAAAAAAGAAAAAATAGAGAAAAAAATGCGAAAAAAACGGCTTTCTTTCTTCTATTTCCAAATCTCTCTCAAGACTTGAAAAAATGTGTACAGCAAATGGAATATCAATAACAAAAGGCACGATGTGATATATATTAAATATATAATAGAGAAAAGCAGATTGCCTTCAGGTCGAGAAGCTAGCCCTTCTGCTTACAGAGGATGGGCTGGAAGGCCTTAATATATGTAGTCACTAAGACATTTAGTACCAATAACCTGTCTTGGTTATAGAACAAGGCTCACTAATGTTATGTAACAAACTTTCGGTTATCACCGACCCAGATATATTGATGCAAAATTATAAAATATTGATCGATTCGTTTTCTACGGCTTATCAATCTTTGCAAGTTATTTAAAGCCAGAAAACATTTTTTTAAAAATTGTAAGAATTCATTTTTGAGATAATAATGTCTTAGTAATGCAAGTCTTCGTAATTAACCTATAGCTGGGGGAAGAAGAGGTGGATTTATATCTTTCCTAAGATATTTGCGCATAAGTGAGTGTGACGAATACAACGGAAATTGGAACTCGGCTCTACGATAGACAGTTTTGGTTACACCACCCGCAGATCGAAGAATACAGCACTTGGTATTCCCAAATGGTAACCTATCTTGGTATTGACCAGACTCAACGCAGTTTAACCGCGGTGATCGTACGGGAACTGGTGTTTCAACGTGATGTGTCTATAAATTTATTTTATAAGATAACTAGCAGGACAGCCCGGCGTTTCCCGGGGATGTAACAGTAAGAGAAAGATCAAGTATCGACCATCATAAAGACTGAAAAATAAAATTGACAAAGATTATTGTTTTAGGTTGACGGACACACATGTCTTAATTAGTTTTTTTTTTTTTTTTTCATCATGAACCGAGCGTGTGAGCAACGATGAGATCTCAGAGAGGTTACAAACAAGGAGGAGACTTATACTTAACATCAGGAAGAGGCTGCTGAAGTTTCTGTGACACATAATGAGGAAGGAGGGCCTGGAGAATCTGATACTCACGAGTCGAATAGAGGGAAAGAGAGACAAGGGAAATCAACGCGTGACATACCTGGCGGACTTAAGCAAATGAATGAAAGAACATGGTCTGGGGGAGGAAGCAGAGGAACTTGTTGAAAGCTGCAATGGATAGAAGGAGGTGGAGAGCCATGGTCGCCTACGTCCTGAAAGGACATGGTACATAAAAGGAAAAAAGAATCGTGCTGCAGAAAATTAAATTTAAAGAAAAAGATTACTTTACGTCGCAGTTCAACTTGACCATAAGGTCGTTTTTCTGACGTGAGGTTAATGTTTCGTTGTACGGAGTATTTTACCAAGGATATATGTTTTTATATTTGACTAGCAGTAGAACCCGGCGTTGCCCGGGGATGTAACAGTAAGAGATAGATCAAGTATCGACCATCATAAAGACTGAAAAATAAAATTGACAAAAATTATCGTTTAAGGTTGACGGACACGCATGTCTTAATTATTTTTTTTTTTTTTACGATTTGGTCAAACCCAAACTCAAACAAAAACATTGTTTTCAATCGTTATGAGTCTATCGATTGAATAGAATTTTATTATAAACAGTTGTCTTGTAAATGGAATTTTTAAAGCATTCTGAATGTAAAATTAAAGAAAAAAGTGTGCAAGACAAGAAACACTACCTGCCAAAAAAAAGTGAAGTTTTGTTGAAATCGGTTGAAAAATATAGGAAATCCAATCCCATATATAACCGAACACACACACACACACACACACACACACACACACACACACACACACACACAACCTGGGATTTATAATAAGTATGACACGATATGAGTTGTCCCCTTTCATTCACGCGATAGCGATGCCTCTTAATCGTGTTTTCAAATTGATTTCGTGCAAAAACAATTGTGTTTTCCCAATTTTTGGCGCTGTCAGAACCACGGTAATTTTACGTAGTCCTGTGAAGTTTTGTTGAAATCGGTTGAAAAATGTAAGAAATCCGATCCAATATATAAACGAACAGAAACACACACACACACAACCTGGGATTTATAATAAGTATGATCCAAATTTCCTTTCCGAATTTGGTTTGTATATGTTAATTAATTTTTAATTCCAGCTTCTTGCCTGTTTCACGAGGAGAGTTAGCGTCACACTGGCATTTAAAATAGCAAATTGCGAAACTAATAAGCTGGGGAGGCAGAACGTCTTTTTATCTGATCAATCTTAATATTGGTTTGATTTTAATTTTGCGAATACACCCATTTAAAGTTAACTGATCTGTAATAATGTTAAGAATCAGGCTAAACGATAAAAATGTGATACTAGGGTTGAGTTTAAGTCTCCCCACCACCCCAAAAAGTACAAATAAAATCAAAACGGCAACAATTCACCCTTGTATTGAGTATTGCTGCCATATATGGTCTGGAGCCCCTTCTGTTTGCCTCGGGGTTCTTGATAAGCTCCAGAGGCGGATATGAAATATAATTGGCCCTGCTCTGGCATCTCGTCTACAGTCACTTTCTCACAGACGCGCCATCGCCTCTCTCTGTCTGTTTTACAAATACTTTCATGGCAATTGCTCCGAGGAGCTGCATTCGCTGGTTCCCAGACTTTATGAGTTCAGGCGCCTTACGAGGCTGGAATCACGCTCTCACCCTTTCACTGTCGAAACTCCTAAATGTAGCCGTCTCTTCTACTCCAATAGCTTCATGTCTCGCACTTCTCGCCTGTGGAACTCCTTTCCCTATTCCAGTTTCCCTGAGAGCTGTAATCTCCAGCTATTCAAATGTAATGTCAATCAACATCTCCAGTTGCCTTGATCTATCCACTACCCTTCTCATCATCCTTTCTTTTATCACTCTGATCTTCTGTAACCCCTTGCGCCCTAGTGGCTTCTCGCCTTGTTTGGGTGAAACGCTAAATATATATATATATATATATATATATATATATATATATATATATATATATATATATTTAGAGTAAGACATCAAACCATACTTAAAAACTGTTCGAAAGTTCTGCATATCCGGATGTTATATATATATATATTTGGAGTAAGACATCAAACCATACTTAGCAAAAAGGGTTAAATTTAGGAACGCTAGCTTGCCTCCTCGGTTATCTATTGAAACTGCTATCCACCGAAAAAGAAAGAAAATAAGCCAGTCCCCACCGTGGATCATTTAAAAGATAGTCCGAGAAGCGGATTGGTTGTTACAAACATCCAATCAGGTGTGCGTAAAACGTGGTCTTTCTTCGTCTAATTCATTAAAAGGCCAGGGTAGCTGTTAGCGTTTGATTAAGTGTGGGGGGTCAGGGATTGATCTCCCCTGATTGGTCGACTTGGTGATGGGGTGTCTGATGTTGAATGACCCGAAACTTCATGATGAACCAAGTCAAAATACATCACTGGCGACCACCTTCGGCGCCTACTTAAGAGCGTATTTTTGAATTATTCGACAGTAAAATACGAAAAAAAGAGACAAATAACAATTTTTCATACCTGCAGAAATCTGATTAGCAAGCCTCGTTTTTAAATCATTTTACCCAAGCAGGGCGATAAAGCCACTAAGACGGAAGGGGTTTGCAGAGAGTAAAGTAAACAGAGAGAACGTTATTGAGGATAAAGAACAATCAACGAACAGAATTTAAGAGGCAGAAGATGACGATTGACATTGCATTTAATTTTTTTATTCTTCGTAATCCTCGTTTTTTATTACTCTCTCTCTCTCACTCTCACACACCTTAATCTTTTCTCAAATTCTTTCACACTCAGTAACCCCTAGTGTTAGGATGAGCTCTTCGCTATGGTACCTAAACTTTATGAATTTAATGCAAGGTAATAAAGCCACTAAGACACAAATGTTACTGAGTGTGAGAGAATATGAGAAAAAGAAAACGAGAGAACAATAAAAGAAAAGGAATTAAGGTAACGTTAGACATGACATTTAGATTCTTAAAGACTTATTGGAAAGTGAGAAGTGTGATAGAAGAAACTGTTAGCATAGAACTTGCGGTTAAATGTAGCAAATTCAACTGTAAAACGATGATACATTGCTGCCAATCTAGTGTTTAAATAGCATAAAGTCTACGTACCATAGAGCAATGTTCATGAGAACGATTACTATGAAAATATTTATAGAAAATTACGGAAGGGACATTACGGCGGTGGGAAAGTGACTGAAGACGGGATGCCAGGTCAGGACCAATAACATTGCAGATACTTTTTGGGATTCTATCAAGAATCTCTAAATATATAACAGAAGCACCAGATCAGATGTGATAGCAATATTCAAATGCAAAGATTGAACTTTTATTAGCAGCAATGTTCAATGAATAGACGAATGGTAGACTTATAAATTAGTAGATCCCCGTAGGTGAGAAAGTGACTAAAGCTGAGATGCCAGGTCAGGACAAATAACATTGCAGATACTTTTTGGGATTCTATCAAGAATCCTTAAATATATAGCAGAGGCACAAGTCCAGATATGAAAGCAAAATTCAAAGCATGGACGAATCGTAGAATTATAAATATGCTAGATTTTGGAGAGAAAAATTGTCTAGCATGACACAGTGAACCAACTTTCCGAGCAGCAGGCCTAGCAGTTCAATAGAATATTTCCTCTTCATGCCAGCAGAGAATGTTAGACAGAAAGAATAGTTGATAGCAAAGAGACAACTCAGCATGCAAATTACATATTGAAGAAAAGAAAACTAAACTAGTACAATAATTTAAATATCTGGAAAGTGTTTTAATAAAGGATAGAAAATGAGGCACTAAAATCCAACGTTAAATTGGTATACGGAAATATGCCTTCCAAACGTTAAGAAAAGTATTAAGAAATAGAAAAATTTCGTTATAAAACAAAAGAAAAGAGTACTGAATTGTTACTATCAGTTCTCCTACATGGCGCTAAATACTGGACAAATGTGGTTACTACGGGAGGATGCTTAGAATTCCATGGGCCGAACATGTGAACAATGAAGTTTAAGAGAAAATGGAAACAAAAAAGACACTTATATTTAACATAAAAAAGAGATAGTTGGAATTTCTAGGGCACATAATAAGGAAAGAGCGCTCGGAAAATTTGATACTCACAGGACATATTGAAGGCATGATCAGCTAGCCAAGGAAGTTGTGTAAATGGATGGCAGAACGGCTTTTAGGTGAGGTAACAAAAAGACATAAGAGTAAACAAAAGGGCAAGAAATTGTGGAGGACCATGATCTCCAACGTCCTGATGAGACACGGTAAATAGAAGAAGATATTATATTTATGTTGTACTTTTAATTTATGTGATATGCAGACCTGACCTTTCAGTGTCTGATATTTTATCTTGCATTGCTTTTCAATATTATTCTGTACGCATAATTATCTGGACATACCACCTCCATTTCATCTCTGAAATATTTTAGTCTACTTTCGCGAGAAGGATGTTCAAATAAGTGAGAGCCTCATGCCGTCACATTCTCTGTGCTAATCTCGCCAACTTGCTGATATTGGTTTACGTAGGTCAGATTTCAGGGAAGTTTCCTATTCCCTTGCTACCAACTCTACCATTGCGAAGATAAATGAAAGAAAGAAAAAAAAGAAAGAGAAAATAATTGATAACTTGCGATCTCATCAAAATACTGAAAAAAAACAAACTATATCCTTCACAAGATATTCAATATGGTGGCATTTTTGGATGACGC